TGTAAGGGATTCTAGAAGGCTTCTCAGCATATTGTGGGCATTTAAGAGTATTCTAAGGAGGTTTTAAAGGCTATTTCAGGGGTTTTGGGAATACATTCAGGGTGAGAATCAGAAGGGATACTCGATGAAGATGCAGAGTATTAAGACTGCAGTGGAATGCAATTAAAAAGGGCCAGAGGTGACAGAGTGCATTGGGAAAAACAGTGATGTTCTAAAGACTGTGATTTCCAGGATCAATGGAGTCATTGTGGCTAGCACCAGATGCTGACAGCTGTGTAGGAGAGGAATCCTGCACAGTAGAAATGAACACCCCAAAAGAACCAACATATAACCTGACACCACGAACCTGGGCGGGTGAGTTTTGTTTCTCAGAGAAAAGGGCTGGTGATCGTGTCCAGGGGCCCGGGGCCCGGCGTGGCCGGTGGCCTGCTGAAATTCCAAACTGATCAGGATGCCTCCCAGATGCAAGGTGCCCCCACAGGGAAGTGAGGCTGCTTTGACATTGCCAAGTGCCTCCTGCAAGCTGACATCAGGAACCTGGCCTGGTGAGTTTTGTTTCTCAGGGGAAAGGCCAGCGTTCATGTCCAGGGCCCGGTGGCCCAGAGTGGCCGGCTGCCTGCTGAAATTCCAAATGGATTAGGATGCCTCCCAGATGCAAGATGTCACCACAGGCAACGGTGGCTGGTTTGACAGTGCTAAGTGCCTCCTGCAAGCTGACATCAGGAACCTGGCCTGGTGAGTTTTGTTTCTCAGGGGAAAGGGCATCGTTCGTGTCCAGGGCCCGGTGGCCCGGAGTGGCCGGCTGCCTGCTGAAATTCCAAACTGATCAGGGAAAACTGACATCAGGAACCTGGCCTGGTGAGTTTTGTTTCTCAGGGGAAAGGGCATCGTTCGTGTCCAGGGCCCGGTGGCCCGGAGTGGCCGGCTGCCTGCTGAAATTCCAAACTGATCAGGATGCCTCCCAGATGCAAGGTGCCCCCAGAGGCAAGTGTGGCTGCTTTGACAGTGCCAAGTGCCTCCTGAAAACTGACATCAGGAACCTGGGCTGGTGAATTTTGTTTCCCAGAGAAAAGGCCATCGTTCGTGTCCAGGGCCCGGTGGCCCGGAGTGGCAAGCTGCCTGCCTAAATTTCCAAAGGGATCGGGATGCCTGCCACACGCAAGGTGCCACCTCATGCTGGCCTTTCCCCAGAGAAACAAAACTCACCAGGCCAGGTTCCTGATGTCAGTTTGCAGGAGGCACTTGGCACTGTCCAACCAGCCACAGTTGCCTGTGATGGTACCTTGCGTCTGGGAGGCCTCCTGAGACTTTCCGTATTTCAGCAGGCAACCGGCCACTCTTGTGCCCCGTGCCACGTCTACAGTGGCATGTTTGTGTAGGCGGGGGGACATTTGCCCAGCTTGGCCAGTCTTCTGTTTAGCAATAGAGCAGGTACAGCCCTGTGCCTTTCTTAGATTTTCCTGCAGTATCTTGAAGCTGGTTGTGCAGAAGTATTTCACTGCAGAGTCTTCATTTTAATCGTGAATTGCTGTCTTTATGTTATGCTCATTTTCATAATTGCAAGTGCTACAGGTGCTGTAATCCGCTCAAAGGAATGCTAACAAAACTGAACATGTTATTATAACGTGACAGTCTTTAATTTCTATTATTGACTGTACATTTGTTAAATTGTTTACTATTGAGCAGGCCTTGGTCCGGCCTAAGGCTTCCTACTGCAGAGTAATGCCCAGAAATTAGTTCAGTTCTCTGTGTGGAGAGTAAAAAGCCAAACTTTCTTGTATTCCAGATCTCTTTGGAAAACACGGTTTCATAATTAACTAAATTGTTGCTTTTAAACTTATCAGCATTGTTTCTGAGAGGAAGATTGAACCATGGTAGGGCTGTATTTGTGAGGGGAAAAGAATCCCCTTGCTGCTGAGTACAGTGTTCTGGGTCATATTTGGGTTTTTAATGCCTGAACTGCTAAATTCATTACTTTATAAAAGTCTAAGACTAGACAAGACCTAAGACTAAGTTTTGAGAGAAACATTGTACAGTATAGTAGCATAATTGTCTGTCTTATCTTTTAGATTAGAATATCCATATATTCAAATTATCTTAATTTACATTCAGAACAAATGCACTTCCTCCTCCATGCCCAAATTCCTCAGCAATGCTGTCTCTCTTTGTTACAGAACTTTTCCAAGGGATGCAATACTAATGAAAATTCTATTTTAAATCAAATATTCATTTGCAAGTAATTTTACCATTCCAGAACAATTTAGGAATTACATTAATAATCATTAACTTAATTTAATCCATTTGAGCACAATAATTCAGTATTTAGATCTCAAACTGTGAAACAGCTTTTACTGCCATTGTTGTTTTGCAGTTTGTGGAGCGAGTTCTTGGAGGAAGGGAAGATAAGCCTGGAGAGCTTCCCTGATAAGTGGTACAGGATAAGAAGAGTTTGAAGGTGGCTCAGCTGTGCATGACAGTGGTGTTCTAACAGCTGCTTACCATATAGCTGATCAAAAAATCCCCTCATCTTTGAGGAATAAATTGGAAATTTTGAGAAAACACTACGAAGGTGGCCAGGGAAAAAGAAATTTAACTCATGAAGGTTACAAAAATTATCTCATCTCCTTTGATAATGGTATTGGTTACAGTGCAGCAGGAAATCTCAATCAGTACTAATCTTACACATACCTGTTTACCAGGAAGATTGACTGCAGATGATGGGGTGAGCAAGAAATGTCCCAGCAGCTGTTAGAAGTCCTTCAGCTGTACAAAGCTGTCATCTGCCCAAGCATGCTTTATTCATTGAAATTGTGGATGCAATAGTCTGCTCAAAGGACCATTTAGGTCCACCTGTAGCAAACTGCAGTATGAAAAGGAATGGGTTCTTAATAGTTAGATATAGCCTTCTGTGAATGCACGGAGTGTGTCGCTCATTTAACCGCGTCACTTCTTACTCAAGGGTGACATTAAATAGTGCTGTGGATTCTTGTTTGACTGCAGTTTCTGAGTGAACACAGCTCCAATGAAAGCCTGCAGAGGACATCCCCCCACCCACCCCTCAGGTGTGCAGCACCAGCTCCTTGTTGTATGCGGGGGCACTTACCAGCCCTATTGTCCCTGTGCCACCAAAAGATTACTGCTGCACAGCCTGTGCCTGACAAGTTCCAGCTTTCAGCTGTAAAAATGATGTTTTTCTGAAGAACAAGCTTCCACAATCAGAGTTTCAGTCCAAATACAACAGACAACAGATTCTTGGAGCTAATTAGCACTGTTAGAAAAAAATTTTTTTCTATTATATTGACCCCCTTACAATATATATAAATTTCCTCTTATATCTTGGATTCTTTAGCATTTCACTTTCTGAAGTATTACAACTGAAAATGAAATATCTCTTTTAAAAAATGAGGACTCAAAACACTTCAGTGTATTTTCAGTGATAGTTTATTTGCTCACTTATAAACATTCTAGTATGCAACACAGTTAAAATGCTACTGAAACTTGAAATTCTAGAATTTTCAGATTTTGTTTGAAGGTAACGGAAGGCTAAAATTATTAGCAAGGACTACTCAGTGCTGCCAACCAGTCTTTTAAACCTAAACCTGACCAATTTAAACAGAATTAAAACCATGCTAATTACAAAAACTTACCATGAGGTTCCTTGCAGGGGGTCACAGTTAGTCTTTGGAGGTCCAAGAATACCATTTTAAAGTGTTACTCAGCAGAAGTAGCTGGTAATAGTGCAAGTGCTAAAATGCAAAATTCACAGATGGGACAGTTTGGAGATTATTCTGATTAAGGTGCAGAAAAAAATGTAAGCAACTTTTTCAGTGGAATATGAACAAATGTGTGGGATTTTTTTCTCAGCCTGGGTGTTTAGAAACCCTCTTTAAACCAAGCACATTAAGGCACAACTGATTTTTTCATTCTGCAGGTGGAAAACTCAGTCATGCAGTTTTGTTTGCTGTTTAGATGCTCTGCTATTCACAAGCCTCAGTGGGATAGAGTCATGAAGATTCGCTTGAAAATTACATAGGTTAAAAACTGTGTAAATATCCATATTCAGACTATTCACAGCTACAGCGCAGTATTATGGTGTATAGAAAAATACAGATCCAAGCTTCAGTGGGTTGCAACCCCAAGTACACAACACAATTCCTCAAGCTCATACCACAAGTGGAAATAACCTTCTGCTAGTTTCTGCTCTAATGCCGTACACTTTGTTAAGAAGCTGCCTCCTATCCAATGTGGCACCTCTGCACCTGTCATAACTCAGTTCAAACTTTAGCAGTCTGTGTATATTTACAGTGCTTTATTCATCTGGAAAGTTTTTCCTGTGACTAGTTTTTAACAGGAGTTAACAGCATTCTTCTGGGCTGGAAGTGCGGCAGAAGCCTGTTTCCCTTGAGTGGGCTCATCTAGAAACACGTTAAAAACATCCATCCCCAAAGTAGATGTGGACAGAAATTCATCATGACAGCAACTCTCTTTCCCCCAACACATTTCTGATAAGGAACTTCCATTGCTAAAAGAACAAGTAATGTTCCTTGGCACAGATGAAATCTGGAGGGAGCTGCTTACCAGTCTAGGTGCAGGCACCCCAAGGTGTGGGACCTGGATTTTAGATCTATGTCACTGCACAGTGCAAGGGTACAGTGGCTTAGAGGAGAGTATCAGGTATCGATACGTGCTGAGCGGTGGCTCCTTTAGAACCTGCTTATCTGAAACAAACCGAGTGACTGCAAAAAGCTTTACAGAAGTTCATCGCAAAAGGGTAAAATTAATTAACTGCTATGAATTCTTTGCATTCAGGGCTGCAAAACAAAGACACATATTACTTAAATCAGTTTTATTTAAGAATTTCCTACAGTGACAAATCTTATAAAAAGCATCCAAACACGAAACTGCAGCAAACAGCATTCTTTTGGATATCTTACAGACAGTGGAACTTCCACCCTGGAGAGGCACACTGAGCTCTAGTGATCTCTGCTAAAAGAGCTACTGCAAAGCACGCAAGCTCAATGTTCTCACCACAACCCCCATCATCTTCAAGTCACATTACCACACTTACAGATCATTAACAGAAAAAAACACACACCATACAGCATTCACAGCAGTTGACATAAGGGAAAAGAAATACAAATATTCCATTTCACGTAACACATTCAACTAATTGATTAACTAGGTAGAGAACCCACTTAAAGTCTTCCACATGTGGACGTCCTTTGAATGCAATAAACACTCGTACGTTATCTGCTACCATTGCTCTCCGCACACTCTCTCACCAAAGCCACAGGATTGAGAGACATCTCGCCAAGTCAAATAAAATCCCATTAATGCACCACCAGGTCTCTGCATGCGCTCGCTCCTTTATCTCGCACATACCAGCCCTCTCATGCCTCGGCACCACCACCAATCCCACACATGGTTTCAAAAGTTCAAACAGCCTTCTGGTTCCATCTCACAGCCTTGCGTTCACAGCGTTGATACGACTCCATGAAATAAAGAGTAGCGGATAAAAATGGAACACCCACCGTCTAAGACGCAGCATGTGCGGTGTGATGAAGTATTCTTGGATGAGAAAGCATGTAGACAGAAGTATTCCTAAGGCAGAATATTTACAGCACTGCTTTCAATGAAGTGCTTCTTCCATACACATTTGAAATGAGATGAACTGCGGAGATTAAATGAAGCCTTCATATCGTACTTTAGCATGGAGGGGAGACAGTGTTAAAAAAAACAAACAAACACAAACAAAAATGACACTGTGTTGTCTAACAGGGCACTTGGAGAGTCTTATGGTGGGATCAAATTAAAAACAAGAGGGAGAGAATGCTGTTTCTGACCAATGGTTCCATTTTGAACATGCAAAGAATTCAGGTAGCCAGGAAACAAGAGGTAAAGTATTACAGGAGAAACCTTTCCTATCGACTGTAGTGTTAGTTCACCTATTGGGCAAACAGCAGTCCACTTCCAAACATTCAGAATTCCAACTAGATATATAACAAAACTTAGAAAATTCCTTTTACCTTTCTTTTCTTTTTTTTTTTTTTTTTTTTTTTAGAAAAGAAAAATGTCAAAAATACTGCTGAATATACTGCACACTGAACAAATTCATTTGGAAAACTTTAGTATATATGTAATTTACAGTATACTTACCATGAGTTAGAAAAATCTGATTTCCCACCATAGAGTCAGTATCAGAGCCCACTGCGTCTACATTCCCCAGCCTGACGACTTGGAATCCATGCTTGAACCAAAGCCTCCGTTAAACCCACTGCTGGAGCCTGCATTCGAGGCTGAGCCCCAGCCTATTGCTGCCCCTGAGTTGGACCCTCCATATGAGTTGTTGCCTGAACTAAAACCCTGGTTCTGCTCCCGCTGCATGTTGCCCTGAGGCTGGTTGTTTCCCGAAGGCCCTGACTGGTTCTGCTGGCTGGCCAGCATACCCATCATCCCCCAGCTGCTCTGCAGGGCCGCCTGCGCTGCTGCCATCATGGCAGGGTTGATGCTAAATGCCCCAAAGTTCATACCCCCGCCCATGTTGCTGCCCTGGTTGTTGCCCAGTCCTCCCCCACCTCCTCTGCTGTTACCAAACCCCCCCTGATTCCCAAAGCCACCCGGGTTACCACCAAATCTTCCACCTCTCTCTAACTGTCTACTGCTATTGTGCTTAGGTTCAGCATTAGATATATGTACGCTGATTCCTTTAATGATCAAGTCCTCTCCACAAAGAGACTGGGCAACCTATAAGAAATAAGGGATTGATTAAATGTATGTTAGATGTCCTGTTTTTCAAAAATCTTAGCAGTACAAAACACAAAACATCCCTACAATTCTGAGTAGATATTTATCCTGCAAAGAAGGCACATGCATGTACTTAATTTGAAGTGATTTAGCTTTGCATTCATCACTACCCTAACTGCAGTACAAAGTCCTGTCTGCACAGCTGCATCTAGAAGTGTACTCTCAGTCCACTCAATAAATCAGACAGTGGACAAGTAAGCATTTCATATGTAGTTCCAGAAATTATACTTTATCATGCTACTAAATTGTAGTGCATGAAATTAAAATATTTTAAGACTTACCTGATCATCTGCAAATGTAACAAAAGCAAAAGCTCGGAAGGGTTTAGGAATGAAGACATCTACCACTTCCCCATACTGGGCAAAGAACTGTCGGAGTTCATCTGCCGTCATGTCCTCGGTGCAGCGCCCAACAAACACCTTCCTGCTGCGCAAAGGTTCATCGGGACTTTGCTGGAGAGAATTGAAGGGAAAAACTATCACAACTGTAGTCCTTGAGAACTGAATTACAGGATGGTACATGATACTCTTAATCTAGCCTGTTCTGAGGCTGCTGATTAAAGAAAGTATGAGATTATAAATTTAAGACTTAAATAAATTTCAAAGATTCTATTCCAAGAACAAGGCTGCACCTTGGTAAAGGTGGGGGGGAGGGGGGGGGGAAGAACCACCAGAAAATGAGCATGGGAGCAACACACAGGGATGGTGACAAGGCCATTGCAGAAGAACACTTTTTTAAAATAATTACATATAGAGACAAGAATAGAAGCTATAGGTTCAGTTTGGAACTCAAAGACTTGTTCTGCTCTTCCCCAAATTAGTGATTCCATCTGCTTTATTCTGCATTTATTCATGCAACAGGCAAGTTAGGCAGGTAATGCTGGACATCAAACACAGATTTCTATCTGTACTTCACTCCCTCACATAATGAGCTATTTTCCCAACATTTCAAATTACTTCCAGCTCGCCCACCTGCTCCCTGTTTTCCTTCCTTGCTCTCACTTGTTCTGCTCATTCACAGCAAAGCCACATCCAAGAGCAGACAGTTAATTTGTGCGGCTGCTCTCCCCTAACACAGCTGATGAAGAGGTGCACTTGGAGTGTTAGGTACAAATAAAAGCACTAGTAAATCCCAAAGTACCTTAGAGTTGGGAAGTTTACAGTCACACCATCTTCCATCAATCATGTGACGCTGAGACATTACTTTCACTTGGGTTTCGTAATCCGTGAATCGAACAAACCCAAAACCTTTCGAGTGGCCTGTTTTAATATCCTTCTTAACCTAGGTGGAAAAAAACCAAAACCCAGAAGTAACCACTAGTATGAAGCACGTTGTTACTGAATGAATTTGGTAAAAATCCATTTGAGAGTTCACCTGTCTTCCAACCATTCTTATCACAGAAACCTCTAATTCCTTAACATCTTCTCCCAAAATTAACAGGCTCATGGCAAAAAAAAGACATCCTTAGGAAGAGACACGGCTGATCTTGCCCAAGTTTATAAAGCTCCTTTGTTTCTACTGCTTTCTCAGGAACCTGCTATCTACCCAATGTCCCTTCTTACTTGAGCTGCAAATGGATTTTACCTGCACCATCAGAACTTCTCCAAAGGTACTGAAATATTCCTTTAAATCTTGCTCAGTGGTTTTCCAGGGAAGACCCAAGACTATTAAATCTGAAGTCTTCTGCACTGCTCGTTTCACTTTCACAGCTGATGACGCATCAGTTTCATCCATTTTTCTCTTATTATCTGAATATAAAAAAGTACATTAGACATCCTCAGCACTGGAAATTGATCCACTGACTATGAACTACATGGTGTTAAATTATAACCCATGATGAAGAAGAGTACAGACTGCAAGAGACACAAACCAGCTGTCGAGAGCTAAATGCAACACATATCTGACTGCCCTGAACCAAAGCAAATCCACAATCGAGTCCCCCTCCAAAATGCAAACTGACCCAGTTAGTTCTGCATTAGTTTACTTAAGAATTATCCAGCAGCATTCTGAGTCCTATAAGGTGGGGAAAAACATGAACTTTTAACAAGACTACTTCACTAGCAATTTATTTCCTTCCCCTCTGTTTCTGGGGGTGGAGCAAGGTGGTCAGGTTTTTCCTTTCCTGAGCACTTCTAAATGGTACCAATGCCTTTAGGAAAAGTGTCTGTGAGTACAGAGATTACAGTACACTACAAAGGGAACTACAGTACACTTTGAAGGCCTATACAAGGCTAGCCTTCAAGGATAACGCAAGACTTTGTCTTTAAAGTACTTTTTTAGATAGAATGTTAAAAAAATTAAAAACTCAATGGGGATAAACCTACTCGGAAGAACAGACACCTGAATAAATCATTGATCTCTGTGAATTGGAGATTTAAAGAGTAACACGTTGCCATGTTAGATCAGCAATCACTGGGACCTTAAAGAAAGCAGCCCTGAACAGAGAACCGAAGCCACGAGGACAAACCTTTGGGATAATTCACGACGTAGACAAGGTTTCCCCAGCCGGCCTCGGGGGCGTGCAGGATGCCCTCAACCAGCCGGACTCCTCGCATGCACTGCGACACTGGGTTTCTGTAGCGCAGCCCGCACGCCCCGGGGAACTGCGCCGTCACCGTGGACAACAGCACCGTGCCGTCGTCCTCCGACGGGATTTCGATGGGCTCATCGTTCTCGTCCTCCGTCACTCGGATATACTCCGACATCTTCGCGGGAAGTTACTGAAGTACAAAAAGGAAAGAGCAGGCGTAAGCGATCACCCTATGCCCCCTTACGTGGCTTTCATCTTCTTCGGCCTGAGGCACGAATCTCTCTTTTATTACACAACAGGGGGCACCGAAATGCGCTATTCATTAACACTATAGCCTCCGGGCCTGCCGTAAATCTCGGCTCGTCCTGGAGCTACGGAGGTACCAAGAGCGACTTGGCCCCTGAGCACGGCGGAAATTCCCAGGGGCGCCATGGGCTACCCCCGCGGAGCCGGGAGCACAGTCCCCGCCGGCCTCGCCGCCTGCCAGGCCCGCCCGAGCCCGCGACCTCCGGATGCGGCCCCACCCGCCCCAGCACCGCGGGCAGCCGAGCCGAGCCGAGCCGAGCCGAGCCCCACCCGGTCCCGCTCACCGGCCAGAGAAGGGAGCGACGTCCCAAGAATCCCGCAACACCGCCGCTACCGCACTCTATCCACCACCACACAAAATGGCGGCCGCGGCCCCTCAGAGGCCGGGCCGGGCCGCGGGCCGAACCATTCCAGGCGGCCGAGGGGGGGGGCGAACTGCGGCAGGGCGCTCGGAACGCGGGGAAACGTGGAGCCCCGGCCGTGCCCTTGCGGGCGCCGCCCGCTCACAGCCGGAGCTCGGCCGGCGTTCTCGGAACCGACAGTGGCGACGGCAGCTCTCAGAGCCGCGCCCCCCCAAGCGTGGGGCCGGTGGTGCGGCCCTGCCTGCGCGAGCGCGGGAGCTGCCGGGAGCCGCCGCCGTCCGGGACCTGTCCGTGAGGGCGGTAACGGCAGAACTGGGGAATAGCACTGGCGTTCGGGCGGGCCCCGAGTACCTCGCCCGGAGCAGCCGCTAGCAAAGACAGTCTTGCGAAAGCTCTGCGACGCCTCTGTACCGTTTCCGCTACCAGAAGGAACGAGGCCACCTCATAAAAATAAAAATTAAAAAAAAGCACCCAAAAAAAACAAAACAAAAAAAAAAAACCAAAAAAACAAAAGTCAAAAAAAACCCAACCACACAAACCCCCCCCCCCCCACAAACAAACAAAAAAACAACAACAAACAAACCAAAACTCAAACTTGTCCGCTTGGAGAAGAATGAGGGGAAACCTCATCGTAGCCTACAACTTCCTCGGGAGGGCAGCGGAGGGGTAGCCCCGATCTCTGCGACCAGTGACGGGACGCGAGGGAACGGCTGGAGGTGTGTCAGGGGAGGTTTAGGCAAATATATCAGGAAAAGATGCTTTCCCCAGAGGATGGTCGGGCACTAAATGGGCTCCCAGGGCAGTGGCCACGGTGCCAAGGCTAGCAGAGCTCAAGCCTCTCAGGGACATGGTAGGATTGCTGGGGTGTGCTGTGCAGGAGTTGGACTGTTTGATACTATCGGTCCCTTCCCACTCAGAAGATAATGTAATTTCTAGGAAAAAAAAACAAAACACAACTACAAAAACCAACCAAACAAAACAAGCAAAAAAACCTCAAGCAAACAGGAAACAATCAAAAACCCCTCCAGTATCTTAAGGGTAAAAACAAACCAATCACATTTCCCACAGACTCTTATAAGAAGGCCTAAGTAGTGGAGCAGTGTTTCCAGGGAAGATGAGGGGTCTCCACCGCTGGGGAGATCTTTCCTGTGAATCATCTGAAGTGTACCCAGGGCTCTTCCAGTTGCACAGGAGGAGTCAAATCCACATGCACTTGAAGATCCCTTCTTCACAGAACTGGACAGAAGAGGATGGAAATATTAGAGATGCAATAATCTGTTATCAGCATCACCCTGGAATTGCTGGTGTTGAATGTTACCTGTAAGTTGGAAAAGGACACAAAGCTTGGTGCCAACAGAGGCACGTGAGCAATACTGGCTGAGTATTGCTCTTGAACAGCATCATACTGCACTGGGTAGGAAGAATTGATCAAACATGCCTCTGCAGATCTTATGCAGGTATTCCCTGAGGACCTTGGGAAGAGCTAGATTAACCAGGCTGACTAATGCAGAGTTTCATTGTTGCTCACTTCTATATCTCATACTTGTCTAGTCTGACACTGTCCCCAGCAATTGATTCATTGTTCAGAATCCATGTCTTCATTAATTCCTCAAGATAAAATAAACAAAAAAAAACAAAACCAAAAAACAAACCCCCCCCCCCCCCAAAAAAAAAAAATTAAAAAAAGCTGTGCAAAGAATCCCATAAAAATAAAGGGCTATTAGTAAGGACAGATGACTTTACTGCCATAAAAGGTTAATCCAGTATCTCACATTAATGGCTTCTGCTGACAGTATTTAAGACTCCCACTTTAGATTTCTTCAAGTGCAAAAATTGGCTCCCAGCACCACTGAAGCTCAGCTCATCCATGCCAGTGTGACTTGAGACTCAGTCTTACCATTTAATTACCGTTTTTCAGCAGAGTTCTGAGAGAACCAGGCTAATAAGACACAGGCTAGCAAGAGAAGAAGAAATGTGTACATTTTCTAGTGATCCACAATATACATCTCAAAGCCAGTTCTGGTGTTGCCAAGTCAGCATGGAGACATCCAGTGTCATTGCAACATGCTGTGAGGATGGAATGGTAATTGTAGTGTGTCAGCATTATGTGCTGCACCATTTCCACTCAGAGATTAGCAATAGCGCTGTTGAAGAGGTTGTTGTGGTGCTGAGCCAGAGCAGCCTCCATCTCACACAGCATATGGTGGTAATATCACTAATGAGCAAAGTAATCTTGGATTAGATTTTGTGCAGGTAGAAGGTTGACAAGAACAGAGAGCTCTGTGCTGACTGTAAAACTCGGAGGGAAAGAAGGACAATTAGCCATGAGAGACTTCTGCCCCAAAAACTTCCTCAGTTTTGGCAACAAACAAATCAGCAGCATTTCCTTTCTGTTATTTTGCATTATGATTAGGTTTAAGTTAAGCAATTAACAGTAGCATTGCTCTTGAAGTAAGTACACCAGTGAGCATACCACTAGTTAATTCACCAATTCCCTGGCAATTCCAAGGGCCCATGGGTGCAGACAAATACAATATGTGGTACTAGCCATCATGTATATTGACTTTAGTGTGCCCAGAGGCACAAAACAAAATGCAATACAATAACTATTTGCTGCTCTAGGTTAAGTGTGCTCAGGGGTACAAGCAAACTCAGTATAATGATCAACTGTTCACCCTCCCAAAAGCACTTGGGATGAAAAACAACATCAATGGGCACCTAAATATAAGCTCCTGATTAAAAAAAAAACCATGCAACTGTGGGTAGTGAAAAACATGAAGTGTCTGGGCCTATTCCTAATTACAGAGCAGTAAAATACAGGAGAATTTAATTAATAATGGTGTGTTGGTCTAATCAGATTGATAAAGAGGAGGAACAGTTTCTCCATAAATATTTACCATAATTAGAGCTTTCCATTCACAAGCAAGTTATCAACATAAAAAGTTTACTCATGCCCAGCAGTCTAAAACTACTAAAGAAAAGTTTCCCTGAAACAAAATAAGTAGCTTTCACCCACATAAAGTACCTGGAAAGATCGCTTAGTCCATGGTACTCACACTCCTCCTAATCCCTCAGTAAAACAAAACTTAAGACTTCATTATAGTGCCTGAAATATTTAAGGCAATTTTACCATGATCCTATGAAATTATGATTCAAATTATCTCATTTCTAATCCACCTGAGATAGTTTAGTCCTATTTTATAAAGAGGAATAGTTTCTGCATTCCTTTTGGCTCATACCCTTATTTACTTAACTCTTCCAGTGTGATTAGAAGAGGTGATGTGTTTTTTAATCTCTCAGCAAACACATTGAAAATCAGATTTTTTATAGGTTTGGCTCTTTTAAAGTTCCAGAAGAGCTCAGTGGCTCAGTCTGGTCCTTTCACCCCTAGTAGCTATTGGGTGAGGCCTGTTGGAGTCCATGTCACTGGAACTCCAGGGCTCACCAGCCAGGTGTGGTGGTGTCCTGGCTGCTACTGAGCAAGCCCAGCCCCAGCAAACAGAACAACTGGCCTGGCTGAGAGCTCTGGTAGGAACTAAGAATCTTCTGTAGTTACCGGAAACCTAAATGGTGACAAAAAGGCCCCTCTGAGCTCTAAAGTCACTGCTGGCATTGGACTGCTGGCTCCTACCTTTGCAAGCTGCGAAGAGTTAGAACAGTGGAGATTATCTGCCATCTCCACCCTCTTGTTCGAGTGGTACCTGTGGGAACTGTCAAACATTTGCATCTTGAACAGGGAATGCAAAAATGACTTTGCTCTGTTTTGTTTGGCAGAGTTAGATCAAACCATCTTCAAGTCATCTCCCTTGCCTTTCTAGAGCATCCAATAGCAGAGCCTGGGAAGAATTTCTCCCTGTGATTCACAGAGGTATCTAGTCAGTTCCCAGAGCTCAGTTCCTGATGCTGATATGCCAGGCATCTACCAAAGGAATTTGATTCCTTGTACAGTGTAGTGGAACTGGGATTCAGAGTCTCTTTTTGGCTAGATTCTATAGTAACTTCTAGCATGGAAGAGCATGAACTTCCATCAGCATAAGTTTGTATAAACCAAAGGATAAAACCCACAGATTGGGAACTGGTCCATAAAATTGCATGCGTTGCTGTGTGACAGGTTCTAAATACCAAACACAACCATTGGAATTTACAGAGGGGGTTGGAAATAGACTCCTTCAAAAGTCATAGGTGGCTTGGGTAAGGTGTAGCAAGTACTCTGTAATACCTGGAATAGTGTGAAGGACAGCTTTGGCAGGCTTTGCTCACAAGCTGTTTTATCTAGTTTTCCTTCCATGTTTTTTATCTTTTTCTGCTTTTCTCTCAAGGACAGGGTTTTTTTTTTTTTGCTGGTTTTGAATGATGCACATTGAAGCAAGAGCTGAAGGATAAGATAAAGACTGTTTTTAAAATAGGCTTTACTGCCTGGTGATATTTTTTGGAAATACATTTACTGAAGATTTATGTAAAATCTATCTTTTGTCTACTTAAAATATCTCAAATGGATGTACAGGTCAAAATTTAATGCATATGGGTTTTCATTATTTTAAATCATTTGCAATATAAATGATTTATGATGACATCAGACCTTTGTTCTTTGGCTGTCCACCATAAATTGAGGCCCACCCAAATTTCCAGCCTTAGCTGTATTTCTGCATTCCCTGCCCCAGTATCTATAATCTCAGTTCTGTGATTCTTCATGTAAATGACTTTGAACAAGGAAAGGAAGGGAACACATAATTTGCCTTAATACAGGTAATTTTGAAAGAGGAGCAAGACCTTTACATGAGAAATAGTTGACATCCACAGAAAGGGGAGAACTAATGCTTGTAGAAGTGAAAGTCATCCTTGATGAGAGTGGGGAGAGCTACTGATCAACCAAATGGGACCAAATGGACTTTTTGTGTAGTTGAAACTGACAGAGGTGATAGACTTCTATCTTTCTCTTTCTGAATTTTTTCATGTCTTCCTTTTGCCCTTAAATTTATAATGCAATTAATGAATCCAGTTCTTGCCAGAAACGTTGTAGGTAACTGCTTGGAAAACTGAGGTATTAGGATAAGCCAGGC